TTAGATAATATAGCTTTAGAAGTAATCACTGAAACCAGTGCATTTGCTCTTTATGGAAAGTGCATTTATGCAAATTCAGATTTGTAAATCGTTAAAATCTCTTTGCAAAAGTAATTTTATTTCCTTGATTCTTTATTACTGTTGTAGCTGGCATGACCATGCCATCATCATAATGATGTGTAGTGAAGTGAATATTAGATTTTTGTTAAATCTGCCACATTATTTCTAAAGGTGCTTGAAATAAATGGCCTACATATTAACTCCTGGTATACATCGTCCATAAGAAATAACATGTTTGTTCTGTATTTACAGTTCTAATTTGTGTAGAATTTGTTATACTTACCAAATGGAAGAAACTGTGTTAAAGACGAGATGCAAAGTATTTTTTAAAAGTTGATTTTGCTTCATGATATATGTTCACATCAGCTGTTTGAAACATATGGTTTGTTATGTGTGTGAGATCACTCACCTAAATCCTTATAATGTCTTTCTTTATTTAAATTGAACATTTTTAGAAAAAGAAACCAAAATAACAGACATGAGAATTAATTAACTTTTAAGCAACAAAATGCCATTACAGTCCATCATAAATATGCATGTACTCAGTTTTTAAAATGTGTATTATCTGATAGGCCTTATCTTGTATCTCAGGCTATATTATGATCTATATGTAAATATAGGTAGACAGCTTTGACATTAGTTTTATTATAGACAGATTAAAAAAATTTTAAAATACAAAACCTCCTTTCTATGAGATTTTTACCACCCTCCACCCAAATAATTTATTTAATGCACCATACACCAAAGTAATGACAAAGCCATGTACAGCCAATCAGAACTGCCACTCTCTAGCATGGAGCATATAGACATGTCAATGAGCCTTAAATTTAAACAGTTTTAGCAATAATATACCAGCACTAAATGTAGATGGACTATAAAACATGAAAACTCATTTCCCCCCACAAAATGTCTCTTTCTGTAACTGAGTCTAAAATCTTCCTGTTGCTCTGACACATTTTCTTCTAAGCTAGCAATATCTCAGGGCTGTTCTACACTACCGTGGTAAAAAGACCTAATTTATGCAACTTCAGTTACATGAATAACGTAACTGAAGTAGACATTGTTAGATCCACTTACCACAGTGGCTACACTGCACTGTGTCGATGGGAGAGCATCTCCCATCAACTTCCCTTACGCTTCTCAGGGAGGTGGAGTAAACAAATCAATGGGAGAGTGCTCTCCCATTGATTTAGCGGGTCTTCACCAGACCAGCTAAATCGACGCTCGCTGCATCGATTGCAGCATTGCCAATGTACCGACAAGTGTAGACATACCCTTAAGCCTCATTCTGAGAATCATTTATAAGATTCATGTATTATATTAGTTGAAAAGAGAAAAATCTAGCACAATTTTGGGTAATTTAGCCACAGGTCTGGGAAGAAAAATGGCTAAAAATTTTCTCATTTTGAATATGATCAGAAAAAGACAAGGCAAAAAAATAATCTTTTTTCATCCAAGCTCTATTACTTAGCTATTAGAGTATTTATTTAATCTATAACCATGGATTGGAGAAAGTGAATAAGGAAAAGTTATTTACTTGTTCCCATAATATAAGAACTAGGGGCCACCAAATGAAATTAATGGGCAGCAGGTTTAAAACAAATAAAAGGAAGTTCTTCTTCACACAGCGCAGTCAACCTGTGGAACTCCTTACCTGAGGAGGTTGTGAAGGCTAGGACTATAACAGTGTTTAAAAGAGAACTAGATAAATTCATGGAGGTTAAATCCATTAATGGCTATTAGCCAGGATGGGCAAGGAATGGTGTCCCTAGCCTCTGTTTGTCAGAGGGTGGAGATGGATGGCAAGAGAGAGAT